CGGACTGATCGAAGCCGAAGTGTTTGATTTAAAGAAAATGCGTTCAATTTAAAGTTTGTAATACTCATAATTTCAAGGCGTAAAGCGCAGGACTTGTTATTAAAAAAAATTAAATTGCAAAGTATATTTTTCTTTTATATTTTGGATTGGGAGGTGGAAGTATAAAAGGAGGCGAGAGTCTCGAATAAAACAGCAATTGATGCGTATTAAAACGGTAAACAAGTCGGGTAATGCATTTTTAAAAATAGAAATTATTGTGTTGCGATAGAATTTAGAAAGGCCTCGAGGTTTGGAGCAGAATGCAGTAGCGTGTCTTCGGGCTTCCTCAGCTCAGACTCAGTTGTTTATTATATTGTGTGACCTTAGCACAGAGTCAATATTGGACGATGATCGAGCTACCAGGAATTACTGATCAAACCTCATAAACTGATCCGCAAACTAAAGAAAAAAGTAGAAGCTAATTGCTGCAATTTCTACAAATTTCGTGACTTTAATCCGATGCACATGCATACGCACCATACTTTTTCTCACCACAACAAATTTAGTGCCATGAAGGTTCTTCGTGCATGTAAGTTCTCCTCACTTCATTAATAATTACATGTATGAAATTTCTAAAGATTATCCATTATTCATGAAGCAAAAAAACTTACGAATTAGATTGATTCCTAAATCCCACATATATATAAATTATTGATAAAATAACATTTTTTTAATCATTCTGTTAATCCGTTGTTAAATTTGGATTAAGAACGAGAAACCACATTTCTTGTAAATAAATATGCATTATGCAAATTGCAATTAAATTGATTCCTAAATCATCACAAATTCATTGTTAAAATAACATTTTTTCTTTAATCATTCGTTAATCCGTTGTTAAATTTGGATTAAGGTTTCTTATAAATAAATATACATAATTCTTGAAGCAAACTTATGCAAATTCTTGGAATTAAATTGATTCCTAAATCTCCACAAATTATTTGTTAAAAATAACATTTATTTAAACATTCGTTAATCCGTTATTAAATTTGGATTAAGAACGAGAAACCACATTTCTTGTAAACAAATATGCATTATGCAAATTGCAATTAAATTGATTCATAAATCATCACAAATTCATTGTCCAAATAACATTTTTTGTTTTATCATTCGTTAATCCATTTTTAAGTTTGGATTAAGAACGAGAAACCTCGTTTTTTGCAAATAAATATCCATAATTCTTGAAGCAAACTTATACAAATTGTTGTAATTAAAATAATTCCTAAATCGTCACAAATTAATTGTTAAAAAATAACATTTTCTTTAATCATTTGTTAAATTTAGATGATTAACGAGAAATCTCATTTCTTTGTAAATAAATATCCAAAATTTTAGAAGCAAACTTATCCAAATTGTAATTAAATTGATTCTTAAATCACCAAATTATTTGTTAAGATAACATTTTCTTTAATCATTCGTTAATCCGTTGTTAAATTTGAATTAAGAATGAGAAACCTCGTTTTTTGAAGCAAACTTATGTAAATTGATTCCTAAATCGCCACAAATTAATTTTTAACGTAAATAAATATCCATAATTCTTGAAGCAAACTTATGCAAACTCCACAAATTAATTGTTCAAAATAACATTTTCTTTAATTATTTTGCTAATCTGTTGATAAATATGGATTAAGAATGAGAAACCAGTTTTCTTGTAAATAAATATCCATTATCCTTGAAGCAAACTTATTCAAATGATTCCAAAATCGTCACAAATTAATTGTCAAAATAACATTTTCTTTAATCATTCGTTAATCCGTTGTTAAATTTGGATTAAGGATTCTTGTAAATAAATAACCATAATTCTTGAAGCAAACTTATGCAAATTGTTGTAATTAAAATGATTCCCAAATCGTCACAAATTAATAGTCAAAATAACATTTTTTTTAATCATTGTTAATCCGTTGTTAAATTTGGTTTAAAAACGAGAAACCTCAATTCTTATAAATAACTATTTTTAAGCAAACTCAAGCAATTTATTGAAATTAATTTGATTCCTAAATTGCAACAATTTTTTAACATTTTTATTAATCATTTTATTGTTAAATTTGGATGAAGAACGAGAAACCTCATTTCTTCTTTATAAACAGGACAAGGAAGTACCGACGAGTGAAATTCCTGTTTGCTTTACAATTTAATGCGTTTCTACGTTTCGCAACTGCAGTTGAAAGTTGCCGTATATTACATATAGTTTTTTTATTTATTTCTTCCTCTTTTGTTTTGTCTCCTCGTATCTTTTGCCGTTGTTGAAATCTTGTATAACATCAGGTAGATTTCGTTGCGCTCAAAGAGATTCTTTGCTTTTACGGTGCGAGCAATAAAAGCAAATCGTTGTTTTTCTCTCCAACCATTTGTTAATAGTTTTATTTACTACTTCGATAAATTACGTTTTATAGCAACGAATAACATACTTGTAGTTAAATGATTGAAATTGCACATTTAAATTTATTGAGTGTTCAAAATGTTCACTTTAAAGCTACAATTTGTATCTTTTTTTAAAAATAAATTAAGATGTTTATAAAATAATTAAATTTTGTTAATTATCTTTATTTTTAGACAACGATTCTCGTTTACAGTTTTATTATTTAATTCACTAAAAAAGTTGTTTTCTCTTTAATTTTTTAATGATAGAAATCAAATTTATGGCTGGACAAAGACATTTACAAAAGTTTGTCATTTGCATATGGATGTTCCACTTTTTTCTTAGTTTGTGGCTGTTTTTATTGCACAGACAATGGATTTATGATTATCATATGTTACCAATATAAATTTACAATTCTAATGTTATAAAGTTCTTTGGCATGGTTTTCTTGATTACAAAATGTTTAGTAAAAAATAATTTCAATTGATAAATTTAACACATTTTTTTTGTGTATGCATTATGAATATACAACTAAATTAGAGAGTTGGAAGGATTAAGTAATAATTTGATATAATGTTCATGTATGAGGGTTTCATTTTATGTCTTAATTGAATGCGGGTTTCGGATCTCTTTGTTTCGTGTTTTCATTTTAATTGAAATTGTTTTAATCGTAAACTGAAATTCTAGTTTATGCAACTTTCTGTTTGGATTTTCAATTGCTTAATAACAAGAAGAAAAAAAAAGAGTAAATATTTATAGAAAGTTCCTTCGACGCAAGTGAATTTCTTAAATAATCAGACACAAAAACAGCAAATTGAATTGCTATTGTAAAGTAAAAAGAAATATTTATATAAGACTTTCAAAATTTAATGAGTTTTCGAGGAAGAAAAAAACAATTATTGTAAAATTATTTGAAAAAAAAACGTTTATGCAAGAAATTTGGATTTCTTCTCATATTTCCTTAAGATACTTTCTTTCAATTCAATTTGAATAATCATAGTAGACATTGACATCGATGTTCATGTTTTATTTAATTATTTATTACTTTTTTTTGTAGTGTTTTGTTTACAACATATTAACGTGGCTTCCGTTGATGAAATTCGTCTAGTACTCATAAATATTAATGTTACAATAGAATTACGATGGAAGTAGTGTAATAACACGTTGTATATTAATATTAAAGTTATTTTAATTCGAGAATAAAAGAAACAACAGAATCCTTGAGTTTCCTTGGGACGACATTGGCATTGAAAGGTGACCGATTCGTCGTCTGTGGGAAACTACGAATGTTTTTTTAAGTGTAATTATGAAGTAATCTCTAAGTTGAACACAATAGATGTGGAATTTGTCCAAGGAAACGTTTAAATATTTGTTTTGTCTTTTTGCTGCAACAAATTTTCTTTTGTATACGTATCTTTGTAATAATACTTTCTTAATCAATGTTATAAAAGTTATTTTGTCGCCATTTATTTATTCTGTTTATATTATGCAAGTTTTCATTTGACAGTTACTTGACATATGTCAAACAACTGTCAAATAAGAAGGAGTTTTTATTTGACAATTACTTGACATATGTCAAACAACTGTCATATACGACTGTCAAATAAAAACTGACAATTTATGACATTAAGTTTTCTTACTTATATAATCTAATAGAATTATAAATATACAAAAATTAATATTTCTAATAGTAATTCATGATTCTTGTTTTTTTTTTGTGATAAATTGCAATTTAATTGGTTAATTCTTGTTTGTGGAGGAGTCACTAAATTTTCCTACACCGCACCTCCAAGAAAAACACACGCGAAGATCGATAATTTTACTGGGGTTTGCGGAACGCGAAGGGAAAGTCAATAAACCATTGCGAATTGCATTGCGGTTTTTTCTTTATGGTTGTCCTTAATTAAAATTGCCTTAAATGATGTGTATTATTTCGATTTCCACATTCGTTTGCAAATATTAACAACATTATCACCATTACTTTTCTCCTCAATTAAGAATTTCCTTAAAACGTTTTGTGTCGTATTTATGTCTTGAGAAAACTGGTAAAATACATCTTTATTAGATGATTAAAAGTATACAGCATTACCTCGTATAGTGCGGTTTCGCCAATATTTCGAACTGTTTAAAACCGGACTAATCGAGGATATAAATACACAAATCGTACAAAAAGTATATGGATTTCCACGGAAATGACGAACTTATATACTATACTATATAGATGTGTGCGTCCCTAACTGTGATTTATTTGCGTACGATTCTTTATTTAGATTGTGTTGCCGTTCATTACTTATTTTCGAGTCGCACACGTCTGAAGCAAAGGTTTCTGGTGGTAGGACACGGACTTCCTGTGAAATCCGGTTCTAAATCTAAACACTTGTCGAAATTTGGACGGATGCCAACGTGACATTGACTAGTAGAGAAGTGTGCGCATTCCGAAGAATTCCGTGTATTATAATGATTAGGTAAAAAATAAACATACTAACAGCCATTAAATCCATGTTTTATATCTAATTGACATGGAGCAAAGAAGAACGCGTATAATAAACCAATAAAAGAAACGAAACTGCTTTCACTTTTCGCACATATTGGAAAGAGCAACAACAACAGCAAAAAAAAAGTGCGAATATTTTCACTGCAAATTCGATGAGTCATCGTTTAAAGCGGTGTAATTACGCTCGGTGTTTCAAAATCTCTGGTTTATGCTATCATTTTAAGTAACCGGATTAAGATTTTGTTGAAAAAAGAAACAATAAAATTAACTTTCATTTGTTTCTTGTAATTTCTTGGAAACGAAATTTCTCTAAAAATATCTGAAATTTATGTGGTGATTTCATCAAGTGTTGTTAAAGTTCTTGTGATTTGTGTATTTGAATCTTGTAAGTAATTGAGAATTAGCAATTTTCGTAAAATTTCTGCAAATATTAAAGTAAAAATATGTTTATTTTTTTCGGACTCTCATGTTTTATTTAATTACTAGATAATCACGCATGTTAATTCGTTTATCAAATATGAAAATTGAAGACAAAACTCTGGTCTTTACAATGAACCTACTTATAGATTTGTAGTGTTTACTGTTTACTTGTTATGAACTGTCGAAGTTGATGAAATCAAATTTATGTGATGACTTCGTCAAGTGTTGTTAAAGTGCCTGTGATTTGTGTCTTTCAATCTTGTAATTAATATAAATTAATTGAAAATTATAGATTTTATTTAATTTTCGTAAAATTAGTGAAATTTTGAATGTAAAACTATGTTCAAAGATTTATGTTTACATAAAAAAAACGTGTTGGTATAATAATTGATAGGTCATTTTTTAATTAATTTTTCAATTTTTTCGGAACTTCATGTTTTATTTAATTACTAGATAATCACACATGTTAATTAGGTTATCAAATATGAAAATTGAAGACAAAACTCTGGCCTTTACAATGAGCCTACTTCTAGATTTGTAGTGTTTACTTGTTATGAACTGTCGAAGTTGATGAAATCAAATTTATGTGGTGACTTCGTCAAGTATTGTTAAAGTTCCTATGATTTGTGTCTTTGAATCTTGTAATTAATATAAATTAATTGAAAATTATAGATTTTATTTAATTTTCGTAAAATTAGTGAAAATATGAATGTAATAGGTAATTTTTTAATTAATTTTTCATTTTTTTCGGAACTTCATGTTTTATTTAATTATTAGATAATCACGCATGTTAATTAGATTATCAAATATGAAAATTGAAGACAAAACTCTGTCCTTTACAATGAACCTACTTCTAGATTTGTAGTGTTTACTGTTTACTTGTTATGAACTGTCAAAATTGATGAAAGAAAATTTATCAATTATTGTTAATGTTCTTATGTATTGTTTCTTTGAATCTTGTAATTAATATAAATTATTAATTGAGAATTAGCGAGTTTTGTCAAATTTTTGCAATTATGAATGTAAAAATATGTTTGAAGATTTATGTTTACATAAAAAAGGTGTTGGTGTAATAATTGATACGTAATTTTTTAACTAAGTTTTAAATATTTTCGGACCTTCATGTTTTATTTAATTACTAGATAATCACAATAAGCCTACATCTAGATTTGTAGTGTTTACCGTTTACTTGCTATGAACTGTCAAAGTTGTTGAAATCAACAAAACTTGATGAGTTTTCCGTCTTGTCTAGAGTGCATTGAATCCATTATGAAAAGTACCAGACCATACACACATGCGAGCCATTAATCCGTGTAGCTTAAGTATGCATCGGCCTAATGAAAATAAACACATACATCTCGCCCAGGCTATACATCCTCTCTCGAATACGCTTCGAACGGATTACGTAAATGTAGGTAAACGTTGCGGTTTGCAGAAGCCCTCCCCGTTGTGAATCGATGTATCGAGCGGAGAAAATGCACAGGAATTATAATATACTGTCCGTTTTCTCGCACGAGGAAACCTTGGTGTTGTGTTGTACTACCCTAGATTCGTATTGAATCGATGCGACCCAATTATTAACGTTGTGTGCATGCCCGGGGGGAAATTATTTTGAAGACAGAAAGAACAAAACAAAAAGGAGTTCGCTTTCACTGCCCCCCTGCAGTGTAAATGCACTCTCTCTATATCTCCGAGAATCAAGAGATCCGGGAATTTTGAAAACAAAATTAAACAAATGATGCATAATAACTTTGCAAACGGTTTCTACGGGCGCCATCAATTTTATAGGATTAGAATTTCTACCGGATCTTAATTGGATAAACGTGTTTATTATCCATGCATTTTCTATTCACTTTGAATTAAATCATTAAACAACTTTACTTATTTGCGATAATTAATTAGAAACATTAAACTTATTTGATGTTCAATGATCAAATTTACATTTATTTAAAAAAATAAGCATAAAAATTAAATGATCAAATTTACGATTGTTTTTTTTTATAACATCATAAACAATATTTTCAATTACATCGTTTGTTGTGAAAACAAATTATTAGTGAAATTATGAATTTTATATTTAAAAATTTTCATTAAATTTCACTTCGTAAGTTGCATCTTTATTAAACCGTACACGACTCTAAAAATAGAGGGTGTTGACACTGACATTGCCAAAAGACACGCACATTCTTCTATATTTAACCTTTTCGTGTTATTCGGTCTAAGAATGTTGTTTATTTGTTTATGATTCTTCACGAATGCGGAAGGATTTTTGTTAAAATGTTAAGTTTCTAACGAATCTAACTCACTTTGCTTAATAAACTAATTGATTTGATTCAACCTAAAGTTAAGATTTAAATGATTTTGTCTAACAAAAGTTGCTTTAACAAATATTTAAAATTTACTAATTATTTAATCATTGGTTAATTCAAATGTTAAGTAATTTGATGCAACGACTTAAGTTAAAGCTAATTGACTTTGTCTAATAAAAATTGGTTTGTTTTTAAGTTTACTAATTGGTTAAATGAAATATTAAGTAATTTAAGGTATAGATTTAGTTTTATCTAATAAAAGTTGGGTTCCTAAATATTTAAAGTTTACTAAATTATTTAATCATTGATTAAATCAAATGTTAAGTTATTTGATAAATTGACTTGCGTTGAAGCCAATTGTCTTTAGACAAATTTCTAAACTTTTCTAATTATTTAGTAATTAAACTATTTTTTCATAATGATATAATCAAAAATTATATAATAATGAAGCGGAACAGATTATTTCCGTTCTACTTTCAAAAAAAAAATTGATAGGTAATTGCATTAGGTAATTTCTATTAATCTTCATCGGATGATCTCACTATAACCTTGAAGTCATGTTCAATCATAGATCACTGAGACTTCAATTACAATCACTTACATTGCCTTTCGACGACATTGAAACTTTGACGGAAGAAACATATTGATTGATTTTTTTTTTGACGTTTTGCATTGTCTTTAGGTAATGTCACTTTTGGAAATGTTACTATACAATCATTTATGGAAGTCTTAATGTACGTTGCAAAATTTGTTTGATTCATGCTTTAAATGTATAATAAGTTTTGTAATGAATGAGAATGAAGGATGTTCGAAGAAAGTTAACCAACGTGTGCTGAGGGTCGTTTTTGGATTACATTTTGAGCTAGATTTTATTTTTCTTACTTTTTGAGCTGTTATATTTAAATTACTCTATCAATTACAATTAGTAGACAAAGTTTTGTGTCTATAAAATATATTGTAATGAACGCAAAAGTTGATTAATTAGAACTTAAGTAAATTTTACATAAATTATTGATAATAAGTTTATTCTTATATGTTTCAATAATTCTTGGAATGTCGAGTGGAAATCGCCAATAACAAACATTTACGTTAATCATCCTATACACTATATTGGTATTTCCAATTAAATTCTATCGCACTTCCGCTCTAAATAGTTTCTTGTTTTTTTTTCTTCTCCTACTTGAAATTGATATATTGTCCGAACTCACGGCATCTTTGATCTCTCGATAATTGATAATTGAATTGACCAATTGGGGCAGCGACGACGTGAATGGTTCTTGTGTTCCAGAAATTGGAAGTCGTTGACCCGTTATAAACATAAAGTGAAGAATTTATATAATGAAACTAATGTGAGCGATCGATGTCGGCCGATCCCATTGTGTCTAATGTGTATATACATTTTATACACCTTTTTTTTTTCTCTCTCCTGCCACCAATAAGCAATTCAGGTGTGGCCTTCAAAACAAAACAAAGCAAAAAATCAATAATTACCCGAGGTGTACGTGATTTTTCTTTTCTTTCTTACGTAGCCACCATTATTTATTATTAATCTTGTTGCTTGTCGCGAACTGTTTATTATAATAGAAGTTTACTATGCTCATAATAAGACCGCAACGATGATTTATTTCGAACCGCAAATGCAAATCTGTTTAGAACTGATGACCTAGAACCACAATTTTTCCGAGTTTCTCCGTTTCTGTTTTGAAACAACAACAAAAACTATATTATACCTATGCCTTGTTTAAAATTCCTAAAACTATTAAGTGTTAAGGCTAAGTGTTAAAGCTACAGTTTTATCTTCAATTTGAGTATTTGATTATTTAATTAGTTATCAAGTAATTAAGGAAAAAAGTGATAAATCCTAGGTATTTGGATTAAATTCATTAATATATATTTCAGTGGAATTTGTAATCCGGCCAGATTCGATGTGGTTTGTTGGTGTTATCAAGTATTTCAGTGATATCGAAAGTGTAAACATTGAATGTTAATCAAAACGCTAAACAATAACGTCGAGGAGTTTCAATGTTAAGCTTAGTATTTCATATGCGGCGGAGCTATTGCGTTCTTTCTCGTTTTCTTCCTTTGTTTCTCTTTCTAATGATTGGTAAAGCAGATGGAGGAGCCAACTAATGAACGCTCAAATATGTAGTCATAATTATTTCCTTCGCGCTTTCGAGCGGCTCTGCTCATGTGAATAACTGATTTGCACAATTATCAGAAGAACCATCAGTTTTCCATTTGCAAATAGATGGAATTGGTAAAATAAACACATTCACACTCTTTATGCGTTCAACTGACGTAGATTGATTTGTTAATGAATTGTCGTTTTTGTTTCAGGTAATGTCCACGTAAATATGGAAAGCAACTCATTAGATCATTACGAACAACAACTCTTCAAGGTGTTCGAAAGCCACGACCACGAGAACAAGGGAAGCTTGGACCGGGATGGTCTGACCAAACTGTGCCAGACGTTGCAGCTCGAGGAGCAAAGTGAAGGGCTGATCAAGGTGCTGCTGAAGGACCCTAAGATCACTCGCATTACCTTCGCCGAATTCAAGGATGCGTTGCTAGGTGTTCTAGATAACTTGCAGAATGGTGGAAACACCGTGGACGCTTCACCTGATAGAGAGGTCTCTCCGAAGTTCGTGTACGGATCTAAGAAGTACGGTCGACGATCGCGCTGCGAGGATGCCGCCAAAGAGGCGGAGAAGGATAATAACATCATCAATAAATCCAATCAGGTGCAGAGGTCTAATTCGCAGAAGGAGGTGACGTACTCGAAGAAGAGGAGGCTGAAGCGGTGCACGTCTTTGCCTGGTCAGAATAATGAATACAATGAGAATCATCTGCACTGCACGGAGGATATGCTTCGGGAGGCCTGGAAAAAGCTGGGAGTCGGCGAGGACGGTTTTTTGAATCAGACGGAACTGATTTTGGTGTGTAACTCTATAGGACTGAACAAGTTGGCGGACAGCGTGATCAGGCAGCTGTCCAATAAGGTGGTTCTAGATTACAATAAGAAAATCAGCTTCCACGATTTACTAGAGGCCATCCAGCAGGACGAGACGTGGAACGAGTTTCTGCTGAACACGTCGGTGGAAGCTAAGCCGGAGATCGAGTTCGTCGAGTCCAAAGTGCTGCAACATATCAAGCTCGGGTCCGATGGGACCGGCTACATAAATTCCGATGTAATAATCGACCTTTGGGAGCATGCCGGAATCTCCTCGCCGAAGATGCTGCTCACCGATCTGGGCTTCCGGGAGTCGCAGATCAACGTGCAGGAACTCTCCGCCGTTCTGGAGAAAGAGATCAAAGGCTTAGGCGAGCTGAACACCGATCACACGTGCAATCCGCACACGGCCCTTCTGCACGCCTTCCTAAGCCTGTACCAGACGGAGATCAAGTTCCTGAGGAACCTGCTGGAGCAGATGCAGGTGGAACGCGAGAAATTGAAATGTGATATCTTCAAGGCGAACAACCGGTCCACCATGCTCGCCCAGGAAGTCGACGATAACGTTGCCAAAATGGAAGCGAATACGCAGAAGCACGTTAAGCTTTTGGAGCAGCGGCACGCGGATCTTGTCAAAGAAGTCACCGAGCAATTCCTCGTCGACAAAAAGAAACTGACCGAGGTCAATCATAACCTGGAAGGAAAGATCCGTACGCTGGAGACTGAAGAAGCGCGAATTCGCGAGGACCTCCATAACGCGCAACTGTATACCAAGTGCATAGACGCGGAGAATCACGAGCTGCTGGAGAAAATTGACGAGTATGAGCAGAAACAGCAGATTTTGAAGGAAAAGATCTGCGAGTTGGAGGAGGATAAGATCAGGATTCACGAGACGGAAGCGGAGAAGAGCCAAGACCTGATGCTGCAGATGGCCGAGCTCCAGAAGCAGAACAGCAGCCTGCGCGATGAGCACGACGAGATTGTATCGCGGCTGGAGAACTTGAGCAACAAGAGCAAATTGTGCGGCACTGTTCCCGTCTCCGTGAACCTGGAGAACGATATGGAGATTCTGGAGTCGTTGGCGTTGGGTGGCAAGAGGCGCAGCGATGATTGCACCAACGACGACTTCAACAGTTTGGACATATCGTGCGACGAGAGCCCACGTCTAGGAAAGGTCCGGAAGTTCCACAAAAACGTCTTTCAGTCAACGAAAATTTCCGAAACGAACGAATCATTATTAGTCGAATCTCAGAGCAACGAAATCACGGTGCACGAGTTGGAAACCAAAGTCAAATGCTTGTTGCGGATTCTGGAGGAGAACTCCATCGCCATACCAAAGGACTTTCACGAGGACAGCATGCGGTCCTTCGAGAAAATCTTGTTAGAAATTAAAGCCAAAGCGGATAGGATCAGTGATAGTGGTGGTTCCGAGGAGCTGGAAAGTCTGAAGGAGTATATTAAGAGAATTTTATTAGGTAAATGTGATGCGGCTGTGGCGGAGGAGGAACAAGTGCGGAGCGAGTCGTTAAGTGATTTGGAGGAGGAAAGGAACAAACTGGTGGAGAAATGCAAAGATCTGGAGAGCGGTTTGGATTTGATGAAGAACGAGTACGAGAAGTGTGAGGATTATTGGCAGTGCAAGCTGGAGGACGAGAGGCGGCTCTTCGAGCAGGAGCAGAGTGATAGTACAAAGAGATTGAACGAGGTGTTGACGAAGCTCTCGGAGTACGAGGAGCAGTATCTCAGGGAGGAGCAGAGGTTGCCGACGATTGACGAGGCCCTTCTGGAGAGCCAATACAACGATCTGGAAAAGGAGTTTGACGAGTACAGGGCCTTGTGTCAGCTGCAGCTTGAAGAGAAGGAACAATGTATCGTGAAGTTGAGCGAGAGCTTGACTGGCGTCGAGGTGGGCGTCCAGTGTGAAGATCTGGGCGAGGAAAAGCACCTCAACCTGAGCAACCACATGATCGAGACGACGAATCTCTTCTCCATCGACACTAAGCCGTTCAACTGGAATAACAACAACAGCAGCGACTTGCACTCACTCGACGAAGCCGTCTCCGAGAAGAGTCCATCATCTCCTTTCCACGTATTCAACAACAACTCCACACCGCTCCGACAGAACAGGGTTAGGCGGCACGACAGGATCAACGCGCAGCAGAGAGTTCCCAAAAAGAGTCCCACCGTTGTGGATGGAAGCACGGCCAGCACCAGCGGAAGCTCGAGCGGCAAGAGCTCTCGAATAGATGATCCACCCACCAAGTGGGACGCATTGGACGATCTGCACGACGTCAACGAAGAACCCAAATGTTGGGTAACCGTGAGTGCCTTACATAAACTTCAGGGAAAGAAGCAGCATCTGGAAGAGAGGTGTAAAAAGTTACAAATGGTCCTAAAACAGCATCAGTATGACGAGCAGTTAATGCAATGTTAGTACATAATTTTATTATATCACCACTACTAATTATTAATCTATATTCTTATCACTGATTCTACATTCCAATTCAAATTCAGTACCTTTTCAATAATATTTTCATAGGTATTTGGAAGTTGGACTTATTACTTCTTTTCTTAAATCATCCAACCACGAGATACACAAACTATCAAGAAAAAACAATGTTTGTTATACTTTTTCGTTCATTTTAACAGAAACTGCACTAAGTCTTCCGGACTTCCATCACAACGTCATCTGGATACCTTTCCTTAATAGCATCTTCGAGCTGACAATAACTCGATCTTTCACCACATTTTCCAACAGCCCTACAAAAAAAAAGCAGACCAAAGTAATGTATCGAATTGTTCACTTATCGAATCGAATTACTTCTTTCTAAGCTTCTGTACAAACTACGTCTTCTGCTGCTTTTAACAACAATCCTTAACATTTCCTACCATATCTTCGTGTAATTCAATTATCCTAACAAGTATTAGTGCATTTTCTACTTTAGATTTAACTGAAACAATCTAAACTCGTAGCTCATCGGATTGGAAATCCATAACCATAACAAAATTCTGTCACCGATTCGATGAGGGTTAACTGGAGTCGAGTTGGGATGTACTTTCATTAACTGTATCATTTTTCAAAATCATTGAAACTAATTATTTTATTACTTGACAATTATAGATTGGTGGCAACAGTGCAAGTCCGATCGGGCGAAGCTGCAGTATTACCTGAAGGACTACCAGGACAAGTTCGAACATCAAATCCGACTGACCAACGAATTGCAGGACAGGTTGGCCAGGAACGATCTGTTAGTCAAAGATCTGTTCGTGAACAACGCCTATTTAATAGCCAAGAATCAAAGACTGGAGCAGCAGTGCTACATGCTGACCCAATGCAATTCGAACAGCAAATCCGTTTGACTGATCGGGTTCCCCCAACTATATATATATATTATTAATTTGTTTATTTGGAACATAACAAGTGTGCCTTTATTTATGTCAAAGTCTTATATATTTTAAAATCGGAGAAAAACGAAAATGTGGTTAAAGAAAACGTAAAATAAAAGAAGAAATTGAAAAAAAAATATAACGAGAAGATATATACATACATATATATATATAAAATATATTGCCTAGTGTTTGTTAGTTTTTAAAGAAAATAATAGATGAATTTATTATATGTATTTAATGTTTATTCATTATTATCTCTTTTTTTTATATTTACATATACTATTATGGGTAAAATGATATTTATTGTTTTTTTTTTTTATATACGATTACTATTTCATTATTATTCTTTTGTTTTCTGTACTGAGAAACTATTTAACAGGTACAATTTATTTATATATCTATCTTGAAAAAAAAACAAGGGGTGATTTGATGAAATAAACGTTGTTATCAATGTGCATGTGTTACGAAACACGCATTGTTTTCTTTCTTTTTATTCTCTATATCATATTGATACTTGTTTTTTTTATGAACACTGCGAAAGAAAACCAGGATACTTAAGGCATAATCGTATTATTATTTCTTTTTTCTTTGTGGATGCAGAATGGTTGATACTTTTCGATTTTGAAATAAAATATATATTTTTAATTTGTCTTTGATCTATTACATTTTATTAAACCTTAAAATTAAACAAAAAAACAGAATTTTCAGATTAAAATTTAAAATATTAACTAAAATGTTGATTATCTGTAGCTGCCACAACTACATTTAAATAACTTTTAATCATGCTAAAAGAAATTATGAAAAATTCGTTGAACTTTGATTAAATTATATCAACTTTATATGTAAGTACAGAAATATTTAATAATTTTAATAAAAAAAAAGCATTACAGATAAAGCTACAAATTCAAGTAGTTTGTAGCAAATTACGTTAGGGGGCTCTGAAATCAGAAACAAGTGAAAACCGAAAAATGACGAATGTGACGTGTTATTATTCAAATTTGAATGTAGACCGCAATTTTTAAACTAATCATTTGATAGCTTTGGTCAATCATTAGAAAATACAATAATTTTCTTTCTATTTTACATTACAATTATTATGATATAACAAAAGAAATTATTTTAAAACAATATTTTAATTAATTACATACCTCAATTCATCCTACAGCTCAGGATTTTTTCAGAATGAAGAATGAAAACGAGGAATTTAAACTCCTGAAATTTGTATTTCTTCATTCTTGAAATTGTTGTAACTTAAAGATTCACTTGATTTGATTGTACTGAAAATATTTTGTTATTTCATAATATTTTCTCCATGGTTACGATAATTTCCACGTACATGATTTATTTTCAAATAATTTTATCTGTCATTCCTCAAAATAATTTTATTGAAAAAAAACATACATAATTATGTTTTATGTTTATATAATATATTACAACATTTTAATTAATTACATACCAAAATTAATCATGACTTTTCAGGACGATGAAAGAAATCTAGGAATTTAAATTCAAATTTTGTATTTGTTCATTCTTGAAATTGTTATAACTTAAGAGAATTCACTTGATTTGATTGAACTGAACTTGTTTTGTTTTAATTAATTACATATCGAAATTCATGATACAGTTCAGGATTTTTCAGGATGAAGAATGAAAACGAGAAATTTAAACTCCTGAAACTTGTATTTCTTCATTCTTGAAATTGTTATGACTTGAAAGGATTCACTTGATTTGATTCTATTGAAAATGTTTTGTTATTTCATAATATTTTTTTTCTCCATGGTTACGGTAATTCACACGTACATGATTTATTTACAAATAATTTTATCTGTGTATGTTTTTATATAATATATTTTCTTAAACTGCGAATTAAAAACATAATAGAAAAAGTACACAATTGTATATATAATAAATTGTTTGAATCAAGTTGATAACAAATATAAATTTACACTATATAGTTAAAAAATTAACATTTTAATGATGATTAAATTTTCTGCAGCGCAAAGAAAAAATGCAGATTAATAGTAAACAATCAAGGAATAATATGAATATATATTTTTCATTACACAATTGTCAACAATTCGAAGAAAAAGACGTTTACATGTTTTTTTTTATATAATCTATCACAATCTACACTCATTTAGATTTAGCACTTGACATTTCCAATTCAAATATTTAGTTAAAAAAATTATAATGAAAATATCGATTTTTTGGACCCACTTAATGAATGACCCACTTGAGTGTAAAAAAATCACCTGAGTAAATTAATTTAAATTATATGCTTATTTATTAATCGATTTCAGATAGAGTGATAGTTATCAACGCGAGTTGAACAACAATAAATGCAATGTTGAGCGTAGATAAAGGTAACATTCGTCGTGTTGCTTCCATGCATTCCCACCTCTGAAAGTAATTGCTGTCGTCGCATCAGGTCTTCGAATCATGTCGAAGGAAGAGCATCGAATCTTTCACAACGGTGAAACTATGGATGAATACGAATCGAGTTTAGTGTTCTTTGTTAATGGAAAAAAGGTATTTATTCTCAACGTTTTTCATCTATTAATTATGATTGTATTGAAACTGCGACATGATTCGAGCGAATATTTGTTCTACGCTAATGTAGGACACTGCCTTGATCCATAAACGATAACAAATAAATAAATAACTTATATTATTTATCCTTTAAATAACTCGACGAAAACAAAACATTAAATATTTCTGAGTTTGTTGAGTCCTTGTGCACATTTATACAATATCCATTCATTAATTACATAAAACGTTTTGTTGTACTAAATTTATATATTTTTAATATTTTATTTTTCACTACAAATCTTCTAAATTTTTTGGTTTCATATAGTTTTTCAATACTACAAATATTCCGAAGAATGTTTTTTTTTTTTCAATATTTCAGTTTAAAATTATTTTTATTTCAATATTTTTTTATGTTAAATTTAAATATTTTATGAAGATTTTGTTCAATATTTGTTACTAAAAATTTGTTCTTCATTCAAATTAATAGAAAAACTAATACAATTATATACAAAAATTAAATTTTCCAAAACAATTGTCACAAACAAAACAGTTGCATCTACAAATTACATAATTGATTATTTGTTGCAGTTTTTTTTAACAAAAAATCACGTATATCTCATAAATTAGAATTTAAATACTTTTTTTACTTACTCAGAAACGTGTTTAGAATAAATTGGTTTACATTATTTTACCTTTTTTTGTACTTCGTAATTTAATTATTGTTTCTTTAAAACAATGTAATTAATATTTAACTTACATAAGAATATCATTAAACTAAAGTTTCCTTAGCAACTGGCACAGTTTTCATAGAAACCTGTAATGTTTTAAAAGGTAAATGTCATTTTTGTTATTAAATAAATACATTGTCAATTATTGAATTAGCTTATTAATAAAATATAGTGGAATAAAAATTTGGTGCATTTCTTGTAAAACATGCATATTTCCTAAGGAAAACTAGTTTTCTGTTGGGATAATACATTCAATGTTGATCAAGCTTTCTCTAGAAACCTTGATTTCTATTACCTTCCGCAATAATAATGAATGGTTTCCTTACAGGTTGTTGAAGACAACATTGATCCATCTTGGACGTTGCTCCAATATTTAAGAACTAAACGTATCCTTTTTCTAAATTTTGGTTGTTTTATTATTAAATTTTACTATTTTGTATAATTCTTAATTGAAACTAAGTAAGATTATGCGGAACGAAATTGGGATGCGCCGAAGGAGGATGTGGTGCTTGCACTGTTATGGTATCCAAATACCATCGAGCTGAAGACAAAGTGCGGTAGGTTTTGGGTATAAAAAAAATTGTAATGAAAATGTCTTAATTCTTCGATTTATAGTCATATCCCGGTCAATGCGTGCTTGGCTCCTGTCTGCTCGATGCACGGTTTAGCTGTGACAACAGTGGAAGGTATTGGTTCAGTTAAAACCAAATTGCATCCAGTTCAAGAACGCATAGCCAAATCGCACGGATCTCAATGCGGTTTCTGCACACCCGGAATCGTCATGTCGATGTACACTTTACTCAGAAACATGCCGAAACCGTCGATGGAAGATTTAGAAGTCACTTTTCAAGGGAATCTGTGCAGATGCACAGGCTACAGACCCATCATCGAAGCCTACAAAACCTTCACCGAAGATTGGGAGAAGATGCGCGCTTCAAAGCTAACAAACGGAAACGGTTGCGGCATGGGAAAAGACTGCTGCATGTTGAAAGATCGCAAAGTTGAACTGTACAGTGAAAGCGAGTTTGTGCCGTACCACGAGTCTCAGGAACCCATATTCCCGCCGGAATTGAAACTCAAAGATCAATGGGACAAGCAAAGTTTGCACTTCAAATCGAAAGAGATCAGTTGGTTCAGACCCACGAATTTGATGGATCTGTTGAAGCTGAAATCGAAATTTCCAAAAGCTAAAATCGTTGTTGGAAACACGGAGATTGGGATTGAAACCAAATTCAAGCATTTAACGTATCCGGTTTTAATCCAACCTTCTCAAATAACCGAATTGGAGGTGCTGGATATTACTGATGAGGGTTTAAAAGTCGGAGCTGCTGTTACGTTGGAAGCTTTGAACGAGTGTTTGAAAGAACAAATGAAAATTTTACCAGAGTGGAAAACGAGGGTTTTTAAGGCTTTAGTTGAAACCCTTCATTATTTTGGTGGTAAGCAAACAAGGAGCGTCGCTTGCGTCGGTGGAAATATAATTACGGCAAGCCCCATTTCCGATTTGAACCCTATCTTTATGGTTGCTAAAATCGAATTGGAACTGCAAAGTGTTGATGGTTCTAGAAGAGTTTTAATGGATCAAAATTTCTTTACCGGTTACCGAAAAACCATTCTCAATGAAGATGAAATTTTGATCGGGATTCTTTTACCGTTTAGCGAAGAATATCAATACATTCACGCTCATAAACAATCTAGGAGGAGGGACGATGATATTGCTATTGTTAATGCGGCGATTAACGTTAAATTCGATGAAGACTCGAAGAAGTTGAAGGATATTTCCATGGCGTTCGGTGGTTTAGCTCCCACCACTAAACTGATCACCAATTTCAGTGAAGTTTTGGGTATGGAATGGCTGGAAGATGTTTTGGATAAGGTTTATGAAGTTATAATGCGGGAATTGGTATTAGATTCTGAAGCTCCTGGAGGAATGATCGCGTATAGAAGAGCTTTACCTTTGAGTTTCTTTCTGAAAACTTTCATAGCCTTAAAGAAAGAGTTGAATATGCACGAAGTCGATTCCAGGGATTTGAGCGCTTTTAAGAAGTTGTCGTTTCAAACGCCGAAGAGTTCACAGGTGTTCCAATTGGTACCTGAGGATCAAAAAGATATTGATCTGGTCGGTAGACCTATAAATCATGTCGCAGCTGAGATGCAAGCAACAGGAGAGGCGATTTATTTCGATGATATACCTAAAATAGAGAATGAGGCCTATATGGCTTACGTCTACAGCACTAAGGCTTTTGCTAATATCATAAGTATAGATGCATCTGAAGCGTTGGCCATGGATGGTGTTGTCGGGTTTATAAGCGCTAAAGATATTAAGATTGGTTGCAACAAATTTGGTCCAGTCGTTCAAGATGAGGAAGTTTTCATCACGAAACAAGTGACTTGCCAGTATCAGATGTTGGGAGCTATTGTTGCCAATGACCAGCAGATCGCGCAGAAAGCCGCAAGAAAAGTTGCGGTGGATTATGAAGAGCTCCATCCTGTGATAGTAAGCATCGAGGATGCTATTAAACACAACTCATTTTACGATAAAGAAAGGAAGATTGAATGTGGCGATGTTGATGGAGTCTTTGAAACAACCAGAAATATTATTAAAAGCAATTGCAGAACTGGTTACCAAGAGCATTTCTACTTGGAGACCCATGGGTGTTTGGTAGTGCCCAAAGAGGTGGATGATCTCGAAATTTACACTTCATCTCAGCATCACGCTGAAATCACTGTAAGTTATTCTAACATCCTAAGAGTAAACATGCGAAGGATAGTCTTCAAATTTAATTACTTGTATTTTTTAAGGATTTAGTGTCGAGAATTCTCAACATACCGCAAAACAGAATCGTGACTAAGATCAAAAGGATTGGAGGAGGATTCGGTGGAAAACAAAGCAGAGGTGTTCCGATAGCCGTGACCGCGGCAATCGCCGCCAACAAATTCCGAAGACCCATCAGAATCATGTTGGACAGGGACGAGGATATGGCTTCAACGGGAGGAAGGCATCCTTTCTTCACAAAATATAAAGTAGCTTTCAATGATTATGGAAAGATTTTGGCTATTGATGCGGAACTGTACGCCAATGCCGGATGCAGTTTGGATCTGTCTTTGGAAGTTATGGAAAGAGCCGTTTTACACATCGAGAATGCTTACAAAATTGAGAATTTACGAGTGATCGGAAAGATTTGCAGGACGAATCTACCTAGTAACACAGCCTTCCGAGGTTTCGGAGCTCCTCAAGCAATGTTGGCAGCCGAGACTATGATCAGAAACATTTCCGAGTTTGTAGGGAAGGATCCTGTAGATATTGCGATGAAGAATTTGTACAGGGAAGGCGATAAAACGCATTACAACCAAGATATGATCAATTGCAACTTGACTAGGTGCTTGGAGCAATGTGTGGATTCTTCGAATTATCACGAGAGGAAATTGAGTGTTCAGAAATTCAACAAGTAGAGTTTTTAGCTCAAGTTGAATAATAATTACTATAATTACAAACATATTTTTTTAGGGAGAACAGATGGAAGAAGAGAGGTATAAGCGTTGTGTGCACCAAGTATGGTGTTGGTTTCGGTGTTCCATTTCTGGAGCAAGCCGGGGCTTTGGTAAATGTGTACACGGATGGTTCGGTTCTTCTGACGCACAGCGGAGTGGAAATGGGTCAAGGGTTGAACACGAAGATGATCCAAGTCGCCAGCAGAGTCCTGAAAATTCCTGCCGATATGATTTACATCAGCGAAGTCTCAACTGATAAAGTACCAAATAGTAGTCCTTCGGCTGCAAGCGTCGGATCTGATCTTAATGGTGTTGCTGTCAAGGTAAACAATCCAAACCCAACCCAACATCAAATGAGATTATAATTTTTAGAAAGCCTGCGAGGAGATCAGAATGCGTTTAAAACCGATCATAAATAAAAATCCGAAAGGTGAATGGAAGGAATGGATCAAAGACGCGTACTTCAATAGGATCAGCCTTTCAGCGACAGGATATCACTATACTCCTGAGATCACCTACGATTGGGACACGAACACTGGGACGCCCTACAACTATTTCACCTACGGCGTTGCTTGCACCGAAGTCGAGGTTGATTGCTTGACAGGTGACCATCAATTGCTGAGAACCGATATCGTCATGGATCTGGGCGCAAGCTTAAATCCAGCGATAGATATCGGTCAAATCGAAGGGGCGTTCATGCAGGGTTACGGCTTGTTTACTCTCGAAGAAATGGTTTATTCACCATCTGGAACCGTTCTGAGCAAAGGGCCTGGCTCATATAAGATCCCCGGATTCGGTGATATTCCCATAGAGTTTAATGTGTCCCTGTTGGAAGGTGTCGGCAACCCTAAGGCCGTGTACTCTTCGAAAGCAGTCGGAGAACCACCCCTTTTCCTAGCAAGCTCCGCCTTGTTCGCCATCCGCGAAGCAATGAAAAGCGCCCGTCTGGGCCAATACATGCCACCTTATTTCAGATTACACGCCCCAGCGACTGCAGAGAAAATCCGCATGCTCTGCGATGATCATATAACTGAAAGGGTAAATAAACCTTTAAAACCTTTAATCCATTCTATATTAACAATGAAAACAATTTCAGATAAAGAAATGCGAAAACACATGGAACGTGATCCCGTGAATACAATATTGCTACTTTTATTAAACTATTTATGTACAAATAAATACAATATAAATAAAATCACGCCTCCTTCAGTTTACCCTGCAACTTCTTCTCCATCTCTGTGCCTTCATACATGCTATGCTTTTTCATCAGCTCCTGAGTGCGGGCCATATCAAATTTTAATTTGGAATAATTGTATCTGCATTGAGTCCAGTAGGATAACGTTATCACTGCGAAGGAGGCCACACCAAAGTGGCAAGATGCTTTCGTCCTGCTGGTCAACATGAAATACGTTAAACCTATCCCAATGCCTCCTCCAATTCCATAGAGGTAGCTGTTCCTAAAGCAAGGCATCTTGGAGACATCAGTCCCGAAGATTTTAAAACTCTACAAAATACAAGTATTATAACCCTATATTAAAGCTTCACTTAAATTACACCATATACCTTGTTCATTTCCCCTCCTTCCGCCATCGTAATAATATTTTAATTGTAAGTAGGAATTGTATAAAAAAATATTTATTGTTGACTGTTTTTATGTGAGGTTATGTATGGTGAGGAATGGTGTAATACTGATTGCATAAGCTCATAAGCAGATAAGAATACAAACATTATTTTCATATTATTTATTAATTTTAATTAATATATTTGATTTAATTCAAACCATGAAACTTATTCTCAATTACTTTGCCTTAATATTAATTAATTTCTGACCACTATACTCAATTAAAACCTAATATTAATTACGTAATTAATATTTAAATTGATGGTCTAACAGAGGCTGCATAAAATCCCTTTTCATGAATTCCAAATAACTTTACTAATTGGTATATCAATGATTAAGTGATGTAATCTTATACTTTTTCTGTAAATATAATTATATAATAGTAACAGACATTTATGTCTTATATAAAGAACAGTGTGGATGCAGCAATACATAAATAATAAAGTTTGTATACTTTAAATTGATGTATTTGATTAAATAATAATGTTAATAATAATAATGCTTTTAATAATGTTTCAGCAGGAAATACAAATTAATTGTGTAAATTAAACTGTGTTTTTTAACTAAATTTTGAACATTCGTTGTAGGCAACCCTTTTTGCTTTAGTGTCAAAGTAAGTTGTGTCAAGAGTAAGATTAATGTTGTTAAGTATTCTTTTGAAATGAGCGGAAATATTTGTAGAGTTTGTTTGTATTTGATTGAGAATGGTTGTTCGCTCTTCGAGGTCTACGAGAACGATCTGGTTTTGAGTGAGGTTCTTAACAAGTGTCTAGATATGAAGGTGAGTATTTATGGTTGAAAGTTATTTTTTTGTATATCAACAGGTATTTTGTTGTAGATTGAAGAGGATGATGGAGTTTCCAGTATGGTTTATGATGGATGTGCTGAAGTAATAATGAAAGTTGTAGAGGATTTGGTTGAAATTACAATTGTGGAAAAGGAGGCTGAAGAATTCATGTTGGATAAGTACATTTGTGATGATTTGAGGGATCACATGGATAGCCATTGCAAGGAGTTGAAGTATGAGTGTGGAGTTTGTAAGAAGAGGTTGAAGAGTAGGACAAGTTTGTCCAAGAGGCCCATCAAAACTGCTGGTGCTGGTGCATGAGAAGGAGAAGAAGTTTGGGTGCTTGAAATGCAAGCAGTTTCAGTCAGAAGATTGCTTTGCTGAAGTATATGTTGAGGATGCACCAGGCTGAGAGGAAGTTTCAGTGTGAGGCATGTAAGATTAAGTATTTGGACAAGTCCAGGCACATCTCGAACAAGCATCTGGGGAAAGGGGAGTGACGCGAGTGCGGTTTGGCAATAACCCGAAGATTTAGTGCTCTATTTATTTGAAATCATTCGTTGGATTTATGGGACAATCCGATATTTATGGGCGATGAGTTTTCGATTCTCCTTCCTTCGCGCAATACGAATTGGGAATCACAGGCGATAATTCAGATGAAAAACGCGATGAAAATACATTTCCCCTCTGCTGCCGCCTTCTACGATCGGTGAAGAGGATAGGTAAATTTCCGCAGGATGACGCAAGTGGATACAGTTGGCACAACCAAACTTTTCACGGCTAGGAGAGAAGAAGAGTTTGGCTGAAAAGTGTGTAATATTTTACAGTTGGCAATACAAAATTTCTCTTTCGTTGCGCATGGATCTGAAAAAAATACCATGCAGCTTTGGTAGTCCTGGATTTCCCTGGATCCAGTCTTGGGACCAAAACGAGCTGATTTAAAAACGCTGATTT